TGCATTCTGATCTTTTGCTCGGGAGCTAGTCAGGAAGACGTCTGCTACTCGGCCATGGTGGCTCCTCCCCCCATGTTTCATTTTAAAGCTCTACTAGACCACTGATTCTGGATTAGGGAAGGGGGTTCCCTGGGAGCTGTTAACATCAACTCCCAGAAGCCCAATCAACATGGTGAATTGTCAATGATGCCAGAAAATCCATGAAAATAGCTTCACAGATGAATGGAAGAGCCATAGAAACAATACCTAAAATACTGGAAACTATTGAAGACTTTGGAAAAGTAGCTGTTCTCACAGTTAACAAACAGAAAACAAGAATAATTATTAAAAATTTCCAGCAACAAGATGAGAAGATTCTGAAGGAAAGGACAGATATTGAGATAGCTAATAAAGCTAAGTTTTTGGGGATTCACATTACTATTAGAAATCTGGACTTATACAAAGGTGTTTATGAAAGAACATGGTGTGAAATACAAAAAGATTTAAAATGATGGTACTAGATAGATCTTTCCTTATCAGGAAGAATATCTACAATCAAAATGAATGTTCTCTTTAAAATGATATTCTTTTTCAAGCAATGCCATATTACTAAATAATACTAGGTTCAAACAATGGAAAGGTAAAAAAAACAAAGAATTAAGAAGCAATTTCCACAAGATGCCAAAGACAGAGGGAGGATGGCCTTAGCAAATTTTAAATTATACTAAAAAGCTGCAGCTCTTGTTTGAATGAAAGAATGGATAACACTAGATAATAAAAACTATTGACACTAGAAGGACATGACTTAAGATATGGATGGCATGGATATTTGATATATGAGAAAACATTGATTCCAATTTTAAGAGTAATCTCCTAAAAAAATACTATTTACAATGTTTGGAAAAAGTACAAGCCAATATTTTACTCAAAAATACCTCTGTGGACATCAACCTTTCACCGGATAGAAATAGGTGGAACCAAATGGCCCAACCATAAACAAGCACTAATCTGTCAAGTAGGAAATTTAGGTACCGCTTATGCAGGGAGGCTAATTTAATTAATGTACGACACCATAAATATCTCCAGCAGTGTGCAAAAGAATGAGGAAGTACTCCATCGGTGTCACAAGTGGATGGTGTAGCGACAGCTCCACCGGTGGTCGGAATTCAAAAAGTATATCCTCATGAAGCTGGAAAGTTAAATAGCCTCTGTGTGTCTGTCTATATATGTTGTGTGTCTATGCCACTGAATGCTTGCCATGTATATGTGCATTGTGATCCGTCCCGAGTCCTTTGCGGGGTGAGAAGGGCAGAATATAAATACTGTAAATAAATTAAATAAATAAATAAATTTGGGGAGATGGATGCAGGGTGTAAAAATAGTTATTATTATTATTATTATTATTATTATTATTATTATGCTTTTTAATTAGGCATTTTAATCAGCATTCATCTTTTTATTTGTTTTATAATGCTGTATGCTGAATTTTCATTCATTGTTCATGCCTTGATCCATTGAGAGGAGCACGTAAGAAAAGGAATCATCATCATCATCATAGAAAGATAAGAGTTGAAAGAGACTACAAGGGTCATCCAGTCCAACCTTCTGCCATGGCAACCTGGGATGACTTCTTTACAATTCTCTTTCTATTGATAGGTATGTTGGGCAAGTGGACTTGAATATCCCAACAGTGATACAGTGAAATAACATCATTCTTTACAAATAGATGCCAAGCAACTTATATCCAGTTTTCTTCCCCTCCCCTATAGACATATACATACACATATGTACTGCGCCAAGTTTTGAAATAAATCTTTGGAAAAGAAGAGGATCAGTCACACTCAACAGCTGGTCTGGAGATCCATTTAAAACCAAATTTAACACTTGCTGCTTATAGTAGTTATTTTTCACCGCAGGGCTTAGTCCTTGGCATCAGATCTGAATCAAGTGCAGAACTGCTTTTGTAACATTAGGCTTCACATTAATCCATTAAAAGTACACAATTTTTTCAAGGTTGCTCTTGGCCACAGCATATTTTACACGGGTACTTCTTGGCATGAAAATGAACATACCTGTTTTTTTTCGAGTTCTCATCTTTTCCTCTTTTAACACCAAATATTCTTGTAATGAGTGTACTAAAAAGAAGGGTAGATGAATTTCTTACCTAATATAACAAGCAACAGAAAAATAGTTTTAAAGGGTGCTTTAGTATTTTGAATATGCTTACATCCTGCATACAATATTCTTGTTAAATTAGCAAGCGGCCAGACAATGTAAAAGTATTCCGATATGAAAGAAAAGCATTATTCTCTAAGTTAATAATAGCATTGCCTTATTAAAAGTATCAGAATAGACAAGAACACAATTCAAAACCTACTGACTGAAATCTAATGTTAGGCCCACTAAATCAACGGGAGTTACCTAAAAGTTGACTTATCGTTCAACAATTGACTCAATAAATCAACTCAATGGGACTTGCAATGGAATTCAGAATTTGGATAATTTATGATACATACAAAGAACTGGGATAAAGATTTTTTAGACGGGTAGCCTTGAGTATTACAGCAAAAAAAAGTAAAGAAAAGAAATCTTATGACACCTTAAAGACTAACAAGTTTTATTTGGCATAACTCTTTTGAAGTGGCCAGAAACGCCTTGGGAAACTGCAAGTCGCTAGTGTGGGACAACTGGCCGTCTGCAAGGACGTTGCCCAGGGGACACCCAGATAATTAAGGTTTTCCACCAATTGAGGACAAATTCCATCACATAGAGCAGTGATTCCCAGCCTGTGGGCTGGGGCCCCACACTGGGCCACAAGAGCAAAAATCCTGTCCACTACATCCTTCCTCTTTATTTGTTTATTTTATTTTATTTATTTTATTTCCGCTCCTTTCCGCAGAGCTCACCAGCCCCGCCCCTTTTGGTACTAATGTTGGAGAGTGGTCCCTGGTCAAAGTGGTCCCTAGTCAAAGTGCTCCGTGGCCAAAGTGGGCCCTGGTCAAAAAAAGGTTGGGAACCACTGATATAGATACAGGAACCCTAGGAACTGAATTATCTTTGAGAAGCTCTTCCAAATCTTAAGCATATGGCAAAGAAAAAGCTTTAACAACATACTTAAGCACTGCTAATGTTTTTACCGTATATTCCGGCATATAAGACGACTGGGCGTATAAGACGACCCCCAACTTTTCCAGTTAAAATATAGAGTTAAGACAACTCCCATGCATAAGACTACACCCGCGTATAAGACGACCCCTTACTTTTGAGAAGATTTTCCTGGGTTAAAAAGTAGTCTTATACACCAGAATATACTGTATTCATCATCAAGTCAACTTCAACTTATGACAACCTTATGAATGAGAGACCTCCAAGAACTCTTGTCATAGACTGACTACTTCTAGTTCTACAAATTTAAGAATTCCTTGATTTAATCAATCCACTTGTAAAGTAGTCTTCCTTTTTTCTGCTGTCTTCCATTTGGCTGAGCCTGCTTTTATCAAATTACTCTTTTATTTCAGGTTCACATTAATTGAGTAGCTGAACTAAATAATTCTAGTTTCAACTTGAGATACTTACTATCAAGACTGAGAAAATAAGATACATATACTCCTGGCACTTAAGACACTCTTTAGGATAAGCAAGTCAACAGAGATCTGATTATAGTAGAATGAAAATAATAAATACATTTTCAATATTAAAAGCAAAATTACTTCTAATCAACCAGGTAGAAACTACTTTTCATGTTAGAAAAACTGAATCTCTGTCATTCTTTTAAATTGGATAAATATTCATCTTTTGTTGCACAAGTAAAATTCAAATAAAATTAAATCAAAAGTTAGTTGAAAACACCAAGAGACAAATTTCAGTGGTACTGTAGGCGGTTTAATAACATTATCCCCATGCCAGTATGTCCACTCAGAATACATTCCATATAACTTTATTAAAAAATTCAACAAGACTTTGCAGTGTTATTGAGAAACATAATCTATGCCCTGTTTACTGTCATTAACATGTAGCTTTTCAACTGAATGTAGTAAATGTAAAGGATTAACTTACTGCCCAGACAGAAGACATAAAACCTAATATTGCTGCTCGCATTCCATCTGCCACATAAGGAATGATATTTTCTCCTAAGCGGGTATCCTTGAATAAAGCTCTCAAGATATTTAAAGCATGGACCTGCATAGGAAAAGTCAATGTACACTATTTAGGGTTTTTTTTTTAATAATCTCAAACTCACTAATAAAATCATGGAAGAACACAACACCTAATCCAGCATAGAAAATGTTCAATAGATTGCCCCAAATAAAGAGTTTAATTTGAAATATATTTGAGCATTTGGCCTATCAGACATGAGAGATCCAAATAGGACACTTTCACTCGGAGGCAGCAAATATGGCTTACGTCAAATGGAAATGCTTGTACGGATGCATCTTAAGAACTGCATTTGCTCCCTTTGTTATTTGATTTTTATAGGCATGTTATGGCAAATGACCAAGATCAACACATTATCTGGATAAAGCTCTGACGCTTGCATTACTTCACCAATAAAATATTAATATGGAACCATAGCTAATCAATTTGAAATACTGTGTTGTCAAAGGCTTTCATGGCTGGAATCACTGGGTTGCTGTGAGTTTTCCGGGCTGTATGGCCATGTTCCAGAAGCAGGCATGTAGCCAGGCGGGGGTGAGGCTTCAGCCCCCCCCGAAATTCTCATGTGGTTCACGAAAAGGCCTTACTGGTGCATTATTTAAACTGTTATGTTTATTCATATCATGATCTGATCACCATACTCAATATATCCCATATGCATGGGGGTATTGGGGTAATGATACAAAAGGTTTGCTAGGCTAGACCCTCTTTCACTCAGACTCAGCCCCCCCCCGAAACTCAGCCCCCCCCCCGAACACCCCCCTGAAATTTTTTACCCCCCCCCCCCCCCCGAAACGAAATCCGGGCCTGTCCAGAAGCATTCTCTCCTGATGTTTCAACCACATTTATGGCAGGCATCCTCAAAGATTGAGGGGGTTGTTGGAAACTAAGTAAGTTCCACAGATATATAAACCTCACTTACTTAGTTTCCAACAGACCCTTCAACCTCTGAGGATGTCTGCCATAGATGTGGGTGAAACATCAAGAGAGAATGCTTCTGGAACATGACCATACTGCCCAGAATACTCACAGCAACCCAATTTGAAATACTTTCTGTACAGGCAAGCATTTTGTCTCAAGGGAACAGTCAGCAAATCTCATGTCATATTCCCCAAAGATGGCAAGTGGCAAACATTACTCTCCAATGTTATTAACCCTATAATTTAATAAATAAATACAAACATTGTCCAGTGCTTTATACTTCACAGACAACATCAACTGGAAACTACCCCCAGTTTATTTATCGTAACACCCTGGAGGAATCCACAAGTTAATTGTGCATTACGTGAAGTTGTATTACGTATTGCTCCCATTTTCACTAGAAAGTCCTAAGGAATAGCTAGATTGAGCTACTACTCTATACTGATAACATCCCAACAAATAAAACTGGCACATCTTCTACAAATCTTATGTACAAGCTATATTTTACCTGAGGGATTGTGGTTGGTGGTGCATCTGAAGGGGAAGCTAAGGGTATCAACTCCTGCATTGTCATTTTTAGCAAGCCTGTTTTACTCTTTGGTTCTGAAGCTAGCAAAGCCTAGATTAAAAAAAAATGCACAAAGATGAATAATTTACAATTTCAAAAAGGATAGTCATTAACAATTCCACAAATCTCTGATTTCTCTGAGATTTTGTACTGTGTAAGGAAGGAAAGGAAAGAAAGGTAGGTTTCAGCTTTTCTGCATGCACATTGGCAGGAAAACTGAGATATACACCCTCTTGAAGTTCACACTGAATTTTCATTATTAGTTCCAAATCTTTCTCAGTGATTCTCATTTTTAAACATTTTGAATTTTTGTTAAGAAGAGCTGTCTATTTCGATAATATTTACAGATAACTAAATTTTCCAAGAAGCTGTATAGGAATGCTTTCTAAATACAACCCAAGTACAATTTGCTCTCACTTTTCTACTGATTATGACAGGGTGAAACCCAATTAGATTCTGTTCCATTATCAGGGCAGAGGCCACTAGGGGGGCGCTAGAGAGAGAAGGATAGTCTATTTTACAGGGAGCGGGTTGAAGAAGGAAAACCATTTCCCCCATTTTCACTGATTATTCCCCTTCCCCACTTACCTTATCATAAACTAGGGTTCCATGTCAGGGACATGGGGGAAATTGTTTCCTTCTTTAACTCTCCCCCTGTAAAATGGACTACCCTTCTCTCTCTAGTTCCCCCTAGTGGCCTCTGTCTGGATAATGGAACAGTACCTCCTGTTACAATCCATTAAAAAGACAGATCAAATAACTGTAAAGTGTCTAAAAGTCAAATCACAGATTAAGACTATAAAAGCCAAAGGGCATTTTATTTTCTTTTAGGACTATAGATTTTACCTATCTTCAATATTATTTTTATTTTACTACGTTATTACTAAGTATTTTATGTGATGTTATTGTTTTTGTTTACATGTTTTTGCTTTATTGTAATTTTGTTTGGACTTGGCCTCATGTTAGCCGCCCCAAGTTCCTTCGGGAAGATGGTGGCGGGATATAAATAAAGTTTATTTTATTATTATTATTATTATTATCTTCATAGTATTTTTGGAGAATGCCTTTAACATAGGAACTCTGGTAATATTTACATTAACAAAAATTTCTAATCCAATTTTCCCTTTTCTCTCCTCCTCATACACAGGAATCCATTTTATCACAAAGCCCATACCATCTATACCAATATACTAAAAGCAGAAGTTCAAGTAGGCTTCCTACACCTGTTGACCTTTACAAACCATTCCCAACAAACAGAAATACAAACAGTAAAATACCCTAGCCTCGATCAATACAGTTGGGTGTTCTGCATTACATTCCAGATACTCCTTGATTTGTATTTTGTACTTCTCCAAATGAATTTTGTGGGACACTGAGTTGTAATGAGTACAGAACTTGTCCCATTGCTGCCACAAGGGCTGACAAAAATGGACACAATGAAAAATAAAGCAGGTGTGTAAGTTGGGGGAGAAGGATATTCCTATAGCTTTAATCAGCAAATTCATGTTGCATTTCTGATAAAAAAAACAGATCAAGAAACCATTGTCATATGAAGATCAGATGTGTTTCTTTTGTAGCTACCTGTATATAAAATGGGATGCCAGCACTGCGTCTAGTGGCACACAGTTTAGATGAAGGATTGCTAGATTTAATTTCTTCCAGTACATTGTGCAGCCATCGCTGTGGCAGCTTGTGCATGTTTTCATTGTTACATCTGTAATACAAAATGCATGAAAATAAGTGAAAGGGAACAATACATTTTGTGAAAAGCAAGTGTTAATAAGTTATGTAAGTTTAGAAGAAAACTGAAAAATTTGATACAGTAAGGAAAATGGAGGGGGAAAAATTCCACTTGTCATACACAAGTCTCATACACAATGCCTCAAAGAAATCCCAAAATCAGTAGAATCATTGTCAACCATGGTGTCCTTCATCTTCTATGACAGTGGTTCTCAACCTGTGGGTCCCCAGGTTTTTTGGCCTGCAACTCCAGAAATCCAACCATTTTACCAGTTATCAGGCTTTCTGGGAGTTAAAGGCCAAAACATCTGGGGACCCACAGATTGAGAACCACTCTTCTATGACTACCTACAACACACATAACCTTATTTATTTATTTATTTATATCCCGCTTTTCTCCCATTGGTAGGTCTCAAAAGCGTTAAAAAACATAAATTTCGTAATACAAAAGCACAATATTATGCCCCCAACCCAAGCAAATAAACAATAAACCAATACATTATATAAACTATGTAAAATAAGCATAATAAATAACAACATTTATCATTATCATTAAAAATCTCTGGATCTCAGGCCACTGAGGTTGTCCTTAAAACATTGCACTAAAAAATCTTGACGCTCCAAATCTTTGGCCATGTGAGCCTTGCCAGGCAGCCTGCTTATTATGGGTTGTCCAGGAAGGGCTGCTTCCATAGAAAGGTTTTAATCTGGGAGCGAAAGGCCAGTAATGTGGGGAGTTCTAGAACCTTTGGGGTTACTACTGAGAGGGTGGGAATGAGAGAAGGGCCTCTCCTGATGATTTCAGGGCTCGTGCGGGCTGATAGGAGGAGATGCAGCCCCTCATCTCCTTGTCATAGCCTTGACTATGCAACATAAGACTCGGCAACATGTATAGTGTCCTCGCTTTTCCCCACTGCTTCCGTTTTCTGGAAATCGACTGTTCTACTTCACCTACTCTTGAACAGCTGCTTTTACATCCCACCTAGTCATGTTTTACTGTGGTCATGAGGTGCTAATTCTTTCGCTGATTCTCATTTCCTTTTCCCATAGATTCAATCAAACAGCAGAAAACTTACAAGTACAGATAAACCAGGTAATGACTGACTTTCTAGGAAAACAACCAATTCCCTACATGTCCCATATGAATGCAACCAATATGAACAGGGTTTCGATCAAGTTCCCCATTTCATATGAGGCTGTGAATGAAGTTTTTTTTCTAATTAATCCTTCATGGGTCATTCCTTTTCCTCTTAAAAAGCCAGGGTTAAAGTAAGAGGAAACCTTTCACAGTTCCTAGAACTAATTCCAATTTGATTTACTTCAACAAGTTCAGAAGAAAACAAACTATGCTAAGAAACTGTATACTTGTTAGCTTCTCATTAAAAGCCTCACCTAAATCTGTTTACAGTTAAATCTATGGCTCCAGGAATTCCTACTACAAAGGCTTGTATATATAACTAAAACCCAAAAGCATTGTCACTGGGTGGTTCAACAGGGTTCTTTCTCATATTAAAACTGAGAGAAGTGATGGATCACATTCCTTTTCTCCCTCCTTCCACAAAGTCCCCAACAGAGATACACCCAACATCTGCTTCATGGCGTTGGGAAGCAGATCACAGGGCTCACAGAGAAGAGGACAAGGGAAACTCCCATGATGTAAGCTGAAGTTCGCAACAATGACCTCTTGCCACTGCATACAGATTTATTCCAGTAATTCAAATTATCTTAGAAGTTGCTTGAAGAAAACACCATGTTCATGTATACTTAATTATAGATCAAATATGAAAATGTGTGTTATAGGATGCACTAGAACCAGAGAAAGCAAATACATTGTTGTATCAGAAGCAAACCAGTTGTAATGTATTTAAAAACACAAAGTTTAAAAGTTGGCATTATACTAAATGTCCTTTGACCAGTAGCTGGCCCCTTGGAGTGCCTCTGGTGTTGCTATAAGAAGGTCCTCCATTGTGTATATGACAGGGCTCAGACTGTATTGTAATAGGTGGTCTGTGGTTTGCTCTTCTCCACACTCACATGTTGTGGATTCCATTTTGTGGCCCCATTTCTTAAGGTTGGCTCTGCATCGTGTGGTGCCAGAGTGCAGTGTATTCACCGCTTTCCAAGTCGCCCAGTCTTCTGTGTGCCCGGAGGAGTCTCTCACCCAGTATTAGCCATGGGTTGAGGTTCCAAGCTTTAGCCTGCCACTTTTGGACTCTCGCTTGCTGAGGTGTCCCTGCGAGTATCTTTGTAGATCTTAAAAAACTATTTCTTGATTTAAGGTGTTGGCAACTTGCAGCATGCTACCAAACATGCATTGTCAGAGACTTAGCAAGAATGTCCATTCTTGAACAATGCATTCTTTTTACAGCATATGGAAAAAATACTGAAATCCAGAATACTTTGCATAATATAATTTTTTGTAATATCTGTAACCTTTTCCCCTTCCTCTGGACTGAATGCTGATGAAAGCCAAAAATACCGAACAATCAAAATATTATCCTGCCCCACTAGCCATAGAGAGCATAAAACAAAAGAAAGTCAAAGGATCCAATTTATTATTCAACTTTGCTTATCAAGTTGTGAGAAAAGGACTCTTGCTACGAAGCATGTTTCCTCTGCAATTATACAACTTGGCACTGCATATAAAACCTCACTGCCCAGCAAACAGCCTTAAAAATAAATATTTCTGTCAGAATTACAGGAACTGCCTCAAGCAAAGGATGCTTGGTCAAGACCAAACTCAGTTCTAATTTGATACCAGGTGTTGATCAAACATAGTTTAGCCAGTTTACTAAACGGAAGAAGTTAAAACATTTTGTTTACTTCTCAAAATGCAATTACTTTAGAGAAGATATTAAATGTGTCCACATGGGCAGAGGAGCTGCAGATGACATAAAATAACATCAATTAGCTCCTCTAATCCCACCCCGATCTCTCCAAAACAGACACGGCAAAGGGAAAAAACATCCAAAATGGCATACAGGAGTGACATCACATCACTTCAGGCAAACTGAAATATCTGAAATGGTCCACCAGGTAGGTTCAGGAAGGAAAAATGGCCTTGCCTCATTTCTACAGTCCTCGAAGTTTGCATACATAAGGAAAATGAACAAACTCATATTGTGTTGTCTACGATATTTTATATTTTTTTTAAATATTTTGACTTCATGTGTGTCTAGAAAGAGATGGCTAATATGTAGAGAATGTTTGGTAAATATTTTATGAAATGTTGTAGTGAATAATGAATATTTTGTACATAAAGGTACACTTAACTACAATTTTCCATTTTCCTATGTATGGCTACTTTTGGGACAACCTGTAGTTTCCCACCTTTTGTCTACACCACTTGCTTAGTTGGGTACACTTACACAACTAGGATCTGCTGGCCACCTTCCAAATCTTGTACTCATGTCAACTGAGGTTCAGTGAACTCATGTTTCTACTTTCTTCCCATAAGCAATCTCTACTGCAACAATCCAAAGCAGCATAACACTTCCTTGCAATGGAGATGGTAACAAGCAGTGGCTGAAAACATGAGTTTATTGTGCCCTGATTAACAAGAGCACAGACCTCTGTCATTCGCAGCAGCTGATGCTCCTCACTACGCCAGGATTTGGTGCCTTTTTTTGTTCCCTATGTATTCCCTGTATTGAATATATAAAAATCATGAATATGAATGAATTATGAATGCATAATTATAGGTTATATATTTGTAACATGCCATGAATTTCAGCCAATCTTTTTTGTGTATTCAAACTATTCCAGAAATGTTTGTATGACGTTTCATATAAGACAAATAATACCGCCAAACAACAACAGAAGTTGGTGTGCTGTTTTTTGGTGTACTGATTCAGAAAATGGCATTGAATGGGCCATATCAGCTCTAATTTCTTCGACACGGTTATCATGGTTTTCTATGGGCAAGCAAATGGTGACTGGTAGATACTGTTTGTTCTGTATCTCAAAAACTAGTGAAAATAGGTGAAAACTGGTTCTATTTTTGGGATCAGCAGGTCAAATAAGAAATCTAACATTTGAGGCACAAAATGTGTGTTGGCCAGTGCAATACATAAACATAGGGGAAATCGACATGTCCATCTTCTCTTTCTTTAACCAGAAGTCATTGGCTGCACCTGTTACGCCTTCAACCAGGAAAATAACATCTCCATATCTGATCTCACCCAATTTTAGCATATTTCCTCAGATAACATAAAGTAGTGAAACTCTTATTATATACCTTGAGGCTTCCATCTTGAGACAGTTTTCCTTCTAAACATTATATAAACACCCAACGGGAATTCACAAAGAAGACACCATGAAAAGGATAACTGCCCAAGGTATCATAAAAGGGAAGAGTTGTTACAGTTATCTTTGAACAAACTCATTTCCCTCCTGCTAGGGCTAGGAGAAAAGAGTAAAATATACTGAAATTAAGTCTGACAGATCCCTAATGCCATGACATTATGGTGCTTTGATGGTGCCAGAAGGAATACAATCTTGCCTAGTCACCCACTAACTCACATATTTTTGTTCAAGCAAAACTTTAGTTGCCCTGAAGTAATAAAAAACATTAAGAATGATTGATTTTGAAAATAGAAGCGGCTACTCCCTTTAACTTGGCTACAGCACAACCCACTGGGTTGGCTGAAAAGTTGTTTCCATGAGAAACAAGTTGCCATAAAATCTAGAGAGGAAAATGGAACCTTTCAACAATGGCAGTCGCAAAGTCAAGTGCGCATTTCCCCGTGTGAAAAGTCAGACTGATATCAAGCGAAGTGAGTGCCTACTTTATCATACCTAATCTTCAAAACCACTAATTAAAACATCATACAGTTAGCCAATGTGGAAGTTGCTCTGGTTTCAATTTAGCAAATGGTTTTTGTGGTTTCTCCAATTTATTTTTCCCCTTGCCAATTAAAACAATCTCCTCCATAGTCATAATAGCTACTCTGATCATTTTCAATGAATACAATA